CCCATTGTGAGACACTGATAGAATTGCCATTGTGCTGAACTCCACTTCCGGAACAAATCTCAGAACAAAATATTGAAAATCATGCTTTCAGGAGGGACCTAAAACATAGGTAAGTACAGGGGGAAAGTGCTGAATGTACCAGATGAAGTCTTATATCAAATGACTGGCAGGAAAAATACAGAAACCATCAATGCAAAAACTACTGGTATTTTGATAGGAATAAATACTCTGTCTGGACAAGCCCTACGTCACATTCATGGACACTGTTTACGGCTTTCCCACAGAAGACAGGATTCCTCCCTTACATTCAGAGTTTCATGTGCACCATGCTGTAGTTCAAGGCATCACACTAGTTTAAATACAATGGGTGGCAATCAATGCTGAACAAGTTACGAAGTTATGATAAAAGCTAATACTGTGATTACTTCAAATACTGTGCTGGGGAACAGTACTGCACTGTTCCTCTGGGAACAGCATTTTCCAGGATAATTATAAGTTAGCGTGGACTACTTTCCTAATGAATTTTTGGGTATAGGGCACATCTGAAACTATCTATGCTGGGTGGGAAGTGCTTGCATTGGGAATGAAAAGACAGACAGGCAAGCAAAGAAGTAACTACTTTCTTCACTGTAGTTTGTAGTTCCTGACACCCAACAGAGAACAGAAAGATGGCCAGTGTTGTCTAGGGGTCAGGAGTTCCATGGTCTAATCCCTATTAATCCATTAAAAGTACTGGGTGACCTAGGACTAATTCTGCTCAGTCTGACCTACTTCAAAGGGCTGTTCTGAGGATACAGTGGGGAGGAAGAGAACTATATAGGTCAACTACATCTCAATAGAGGAAAGTAGGACATACATGTAACTAAGTAGCTAAATAAATAAATAAATGAACCAAATTCACATGAAATGTGTATTTTCATCACTCACGTTGCAGAAACTGGAGATGCAAAAACAATGCAATTCATGAAAATAGTATTGACTTGTTAATCTTCTGACAGATGGGAAAGTTAAAAATAATATATTCCAAGATGTATTCATTTATTGGATGCATTTTGGAAAATTATGTAATAGGACTAGAATTTTAATTCCCCAGAACCTAGTTACTTATAACGGGTGATTTTAATGTGAAACTAAGCCAAAATAATAATATACTTTTCTCTTCTGGTCTATAGAGGGGCAATTGATAACATGATTATCGTTTTCAACTATGACAGAATCTCTAAAGATGCTAAGAAGAATTATGGTGGCAAACAAGAACAATACTGGGCAAATGCAGGTAAAGGTAAAGTTCCCCCTTGACATGTAGTCCATTTGTGTTCGACTCAAGGATGCGGTGCTCACTCCCGTCTCCAAGCCATAGAGCCAGTGTTTGTCTGAAAACAGTTTCTGTGGTCTCGTGGCCAGCATGACTAGACACAGAACACCATTACCTTCCCACCGTGGTGGTATCTATTTATCTACTCGCATTTACATGCTTTCAAACAGCTAGGAGCTGGGACAAGTGATGGGAGCTCACTCCATCACGTGGCTTTGATCCTGCGACTGCAGTTCTTCTGACCTTGCAGCACAGAGGCTTCTGCGGTTCAACCACCTCCCTCCCTGCGCCACCTCCCTACTGTCCAAATATACCTGCAGTTAATATTATCTAGTACATTATTAGATGCAGATAATATTGCACTATGGTTGGTGTTATTTGCATGAAGTTCAGTCTCGCTGATTCTCCTCCTCTCTCTCTCTGGCTCTCTTTTATGTAGGGCCACCTATGTGCCTAGGAACAAATGAGTTCCACAAGCATCACAAACCAGCCCTGGGCAGGCAGTTGGAAAAGAATGTAGGTAGGAAAGAAGTTGAGCAGGCATGAAGATAATGTGTAAAGAGAAGGCTCTTTCATACAGGCCAGCCAGGGCTGAGAAGGATGGCTGGACTGAACTACAGTCTGAAAGAAAGGGAAGAGAAAGAGATTCACATTTTTTTAAAAAAAAGCTAAATATTTCTTTTACTGATGACTTTAAAGAGGCATTCTTAATCATGGTAGGCAATTGGGTAGATAGCTACTTACAAACTTGTGCAGGTGACAGATATTCTTGAAGATGTTAGAGCCCAGGATTGGTGACATTTTTGTTTTCAGTTGTTTTCAGAAAAGTTACATGACATTTTCACAGTTCAGTGTCTCCCAAGTGCAGTAAAAAGTGCATCTGACAGATCTGCTATGCCCACTAAGGATGGGGTCAAAATTTAGTTTCAGAGTCTGTCTAGACAGAGGCAAAAGTACTTGGTTTAGTAAGATCTATGCATTTTCCTCTGTCTTTTGTGCTTTTAAAAATCTTTTTTTGGTGACAGCTGTATTATTTTCAACTGGGCTTTGTTGCACGGGGTGGAGCTTAGCACTACAGCACTTACTAAGGAAGGTTATGTCAAAGTCAGAGACTCCCATCCAAAATATTTTAATTACTTTGTTAATGCACTTTAAAAACAGATACACATACATACCCAACCACTCTAGCAGCAAATCTACAGAGAAAGCTGATTTGTTATGATCTAATAGGATTTTGTTTCAGTAAATGTTATTTCAAAGCCAGAAGAAAGGCTGGCAAGTCCCTTCCAGGAGGAACTGTGACCAACGATGCACATTTACCGTGGAACTGTTTTCTTGCTGGACAAGCCCTCAATCCCCTTTGATGAGGAAGAATATACAGTACCACAATTCAGATGCAGGAGAAAGTGGAACTGGCAGATTTCCTCATCCCACATTAAAGAGTGATCCTCAAATTGTTGCACACCCAATGTGATGGATTGCAATTACCATAATACCCCAATGAACTGCTTCAGGAAAGCTGTGTTAAAGAGAGAGAAAGAGCCATAGACATACTCACTGACGGATAGATGGAATGAACAAAACTTTTCTGTAACATTTTAACACAATCCTCTTTCTTTCCAGGGCAATGCAATTCAAATAAATGGACTTTTTAATTTTACCGAACAAGCTTAATACGGAGTTGTCATACATTTTATACATCTTGTATATGCACTCATTCTAGATCACATTGTATGTTGCCTCTTTGTAAACAAGTGGAAAACTGGAAATGACTAGAAATGTCTTGGTACACAAATGTACACACATACAAAAAAAAATACATTACAGTCTGAATTCATCCTCACCTATAAATTTAAGATATGTCTGTAAGAAGCTATTGGTTCATTATCTCAGTTTGGGTAAGTCCTTACAATTTCACAAGTGAAAACTTCAAGCAAGAGTTTAATTTGACATAAAATTTAAATTATTGCAGTTAAAGCCCCCTATGGTCTCAAACATAATGAGACATATGGATGTATATGAAATTCTGTGTATAGCTTACAAATAGCTCACAGAAACTTGCCACAGAAGCCACAGCAATCAAAACAGCTGCACAAAAGACAGGGAGTAATTCACAAATTTTCCACTGATGTGACACAATCCTTAAACAGAAACTGTACCACGTCAGTTTTCAGACAAGAGTTATCTTCTGAGAATGTTCCCTATGAAAGCAGCATAATACATGGGAAAGCATAGCACTCCAGAGAAGAGGCGAGGGTAGAAGACTCCGTACCTGCAAAATGAAGCAATAATTCCGCCCCTACTAGAAAACTATGTTATGACAAACTAAGGTTTAATTAGCCCTTCATTTAATACAATTCAGTGTCAGCAGTAAAGTACCTTTTTCTATCTACATATTACACAGTTTTTTTAAAAAAAAGTAAATGGTCCTGTTTTTGTGGTTAAAATAAAACTGTTTTATACGGATAGGTATCAATGGAACAAGTCTATTTAACATTCATATGTTGTGTAAACTTGTGTTAATGCATAGCAAGCACATTCTTGGATATTCTGTCTTAAAGCCAATGGTTATTCCCAACTAGAGCAGAACCACTGAATCAATAGTAACACTCACATAGATTTCATTGCTTCAAAGGGTCTGCTCTAAACGGGACTGACTTGGATTCAGGCCTGTAGATCTATGGCCATGGAGTGGTTTTTCTCCATTACTTTCTCCTCACACAGAGCTTGGAAATGTTACTGTTTCGAACTACAGGGTCATAGTGGCTGGGGCCTTTTGGAAGTTTTCACCCAAGCTTTGGCCTGCTGTCACAGACAGGGCCACTTCCTTTCTCCCCAGTGATTCCTGGGTTTTAAGCTAGTTCTTCTCTTTCACTACACAAAAGAAGTTGCCATCTTTTCTTTCACAATCAAGGAAGAGGTAGATCCCCCAGATGTGAAGACACACACACACACACACACAGAGACTGAATCAATGGAACCCACGAAACTGAGCAGGTGGGCCATATTATTGACTAAACCTGGTGGTACAATATAATAATTAAGTACAAAGCCTCTATAAATGCTGAAAATTTACCATAAAATACCAGGCATTACATCCAAAAAGAATACTTGTTTTCCTATCTTCCCAAGACTATCTATGGATTTCCTGCCTGCCCAATGAGAAGTATTTGGGACCTATAAGGTAAATACTATATTTCCTGCAAGGTTATACCATAAAATAGAATTGTCAGTGTATTTGCAAGTGCCCATCTTTTCCTGGTAGAAGAAATGACTTCTCTTGCCTTGAATAGGCTTTGTAGGTTGACTTATGCAGAAATAATTGTAGATTTACTCATGAATAATTGGTGGGAGTTTAAACAGCTATTGAACCAAATGGTTGTGTTAATTTGTATAACTCTCACACAAAATGGATAGGCAGATAATTATAGTTACTATCACTGATGGAAATTCACTATGCTGGCTGGGTGTGTGCTTCTCTTGCCTTGAATAGGCTTTGTAGGTTGACTTATGCAGAAATAATTGTAGATTTACTCATGAATAATTGGTGGGAGTTTAAACAGCTATTGAACCAAATGGTTGTGTTAATTTGTATAACTCTCACACAAAATGGATAGGCAGATAATTATAGTTACTATCACTGATGGAAATTCACTATGCTGGGTGTGTGTGTGTGTGGGGGGGGTTGGTTCTTGTTTTTGGTCCCAAACTGCAATTTTACAAAGATTTTGTAATAATTCATGAGTAGCAGTCCACTGTCAGGGTATGTGTGGTTACTGACTAGATTTTGAGTGTGTGGTTTCTATACTAGAGGTTAGTCCCTAAATCAAGGTGGGAAGTCTGAAACCTTTTACTCTCCAGATCTGTGGACTAAAACTTCCTTAATTCTTTACCATTGTTCATGTTGATTGGGGCTGATGGGAACTAAAATCTAAAAACCTGGAAAACTGTTGCCCATCCATAGATTAAAGTGCGTAGGATATAAATTTGTTTCCTATTAGATACAGTTCAGCAAATATTTTTTGTTTCAACTTTTTCTGGAAATGTTCTTTTTAAGACATAAAACTATAAGCTATTTAGGTGGTTTGGGAGGATATTTGGTGTTCTTTCTCAAAAACAAAATAATAAAGTTTAATAACTCCAACAAAATGTTTCATGTGTTCTTCACTATTTATATCATGGAAGACAAACAAGAAGCTAGAAGGTATTTTCAACTGCTTTCCACGAAAAGCAGCAGAATTTTTGCTCAGAGGTTTGTGCTTAGTTTGAAGAACTATTGAAGTGAGATGCAATACAGAGGTCCCATTTTAAATAACTATTATTTTTCTTATATTTCCCATTTAATCTATTATTGTACAGATTCAGCACTCAGGATGGCTTTGGCCAAGAAATTCTCTTGTAATGCTGTACCACCATTTTAAAATCAATTTTATTACCCACCTATGAAAAAGATACAGCGAATTACTAACCTGGATTCTGGGCGTTTTAGGGGTGACACCTCAGAGCAGTCTGATGCAAAGAACAGCTGAACAACAGGCAGAAATTTAACCAATCGTTTAATCTTAGAAAGGAGGGATGCAGTCATTGGACATCTTGCTGAAGTTCTGCCAGCTTTGTAGCCATTAATGGCACAGAATTGGAACAATTCAGGATGTGGCAGCTGCACTAGCTCTGCAGAAATGCTTATGGGTTTCTGCTTCTAGCCCCAGTTTTAGGTTTGTTGTTGTCTAACTTGTCTGCAAATGAAGCAGAGAAGGCTGATGAAGAGCAAGCAGCTAATGATACGCTCTAGGAATAGTCCCCATTGACTCAGATAGATTTTCTTCTAAAATCAGAACAAGTTAGGTTCTCATTAGGGATCTGACATAACGCCCCAATACTTTTAAAGTTTTACAAAAGATTAAAACATACATACAGTATACATACTATTATGTTTTCTTCTATTTGTAGTATGAATTTTAAAAAAGCTTTCAACTACATAAATCAACTCTTTTCTTGTGTAAACTATTTGTGACAGCAGTCTCCATCTTTCACAGTTGTAGAAAAGGAATGTGTACACTGTTGTGCTTTGAAACAGTGGAGGGTTTCTAGAAAAGTAGAAAAAGTGTTTCATGTGCTTTTCATTATCCAGAATTATGACCCCATGTGCCCCAATTTGAAAATGCCAGACTTCAGTAGAGAAGTCCTGAACAAAGGGAATGCCATGTGATACATACAAATATCAGTGACACATCTTACAGTGCAGTTCCATGTTGACGCTGAAGATAAAACGTCATGTCTAAGTCATTTATTTCATTGTTCATGCAGTCTTGAAGCTGAGGATTTTAAAACTGAAAACACACACACAGCCCCCTATATTTCCCCCCACTAGCCTTAATGCCTATTCCCATGTATTTCAGTGTCACAAGACAGCTTGAGCAGTGAAGTTTGGCAAGATACACAACCAGAAGAACGTGTTCGTCATCAGTTGTGTGGGCAAAGTGGCTAGTTGCAAGACTGCCTGAAAATTTAATATCTTTGAAAAACTGTATGTTCTGAGCTCTATTATTGCAGAATCAACTTATTTATTGCAATATTAGTTGTTCTCTGGAAATGTACTTCTACACACCAAATTATACTATAATAATGGGGCTACAGAAGATTCCTGATGGATTTACAGCTTGATTTACATGAATAGAAACCGAATTACAGCTGTTGCTCACTCTTTTCACTAGGACTGAACAGGATATGACTATTTAAAATGGGGGTGGGGTGGGAATACCACAACTTAGCATAATCGGTCTGAAACATACAAACGTGTTAATTTGTTTTTTTACCAATACACTTTGGGAAAACCACATGTATTGCAAGAGTGGACAACCTGTGGCCCTCCAGCCATTGTTAGAATTCAACCCTCAACAACTTCAGCCAGCATGGCCAATAGTCAGGGTTGATGTAACATCTGGAGGGCACAGTTTTCCCAAAGCTGATATATAGGGAGTAGCTATGAGGCTACGTTTTCAGCAAACTTTTTTGAACAGTCTGCTTTACTCTGTTATGAATAACACATGAATATCAGATGCAGAAAGACACCTGCATGTTCTTCCACACTGGAATGTGCATCTGGACCCCCCATACATGCTAATCCATTCTGAACTGTGCAAATGAGATTGTGGATTCCCAAATACCCTGCAGTCCAGATGGGAACATGCTTCCCCATATGGCATCAAAAGCAAACAAAACCACATTTTATCTCTTTTTCTCATTTGATTAACGCCACATACCTTTTGCCCAACAATACACAAATACATGTCCCATAATGTGAGTATTAAGATATACGGCATGAAGAAACACCTGAAACATATTCTTTCTTTTCCTCCTGCAACCAGTTCACAACTAGCAATACTGCTGAAGTCAACCAGTCCGGTTTCAAAATTGGCTGTACGTTTGCCCCTTTGATCCAGAACTCTATATACACTCATCCTATACATCTATAGAGACCCTGTGCAACTGGCTTTCCATTAGTCTTAACAGGAGAATGAAAGCTACACATACATGAAAGCCAGTGCAATACAGTGGCTAGAGTCATTTCTGCCTCAGTCTCAGCAGTAGGGATTCCCTCTGCTTGATCCACGCACTCCCCTTTGGATCATAGGCTGCACCAGGATACAGGATACTGAAATGGGACTTGGGAGGGTCAGGTAATAGACTCTGACTGAGTTATGAGACTCACTGGGTGACCTTAAGCCAGTCACTCTCTTTCAGACCATTCTAGCTCACACGGTTTCAGGGAGGAGAAAAGCCACAGAGGCTACTTGGAATTCAGGGAAGAAAAACAGAATAAAAATGAACTAAATAAATAAATTCCTTGTGATAGTGGTCTCTTCCTTCAGAGCTGTCGTTCCCAACTTTGGGTCCCCAGATGTTTCTGGACTACAACCCCCAGTAATCCTGATCATCGCAGGTAGCAGTGAAGGCTTCTGGGAGTTTCATTCCAAGAATATTTGGGGACTCAAAGTTGGGTTGAAAAAAACAGGGAGGAGCTAAGAAATTCCCTTAGAATGCAACAAGAACAGAATCTGAGTAATATTTAAAATTGGTCAAAACAAAAATATAAATCGTTTTCCTCCCATGGTTTATTTTGGTCAACATGGTATTTCTCTCTGAAAAGGCCAATACTCCCTGTGTGCAAACCTGTTATGTACAATACAATGAAAGTAGTACAGCCATGTAACATAAATGCTAGATGAACAATGTCCTCTTCTCTCTTAGTCAAACATCACTGGGGGATCTTGCCCTTGCAGAAAGATTGGAAGGGATGCATCCACAGCAGATGAGCCAAAGGGCCTTTTGTATTTCTTGGTTTCGGAAAGCATATATTACAGGGTTGATAATGGAGTTGTACGTGGCTGGAAGGAGGGTAGCGTAGGTATATATGGAAGGATAAGTGTAGTCAGCTATTAAAGAATAAAGTGTAAAAGGCATCCAGCAAGCAGCAAAGGTTCCCAGGATAATGGCTAACGTTGATACTCCTTTTCGGGTCGTCACATAGTGGGAGGTGGCCAGGAAGTGGTGTTGCAAAGCGATCTGGTGGGCATGGCGCATCACTATTTTACAGATTTGAATGTACAGCTGTAGCATAAGAGCAAACATGAGCAAGAAAGAGACAGAGAGGACGGCCGCGTTATTTTTAGTGAGTGGTCTGATCACACTGCAGGTGGATTCGTCTCTGAGGCAGTTCCAGCCCATAATAGGCAGCAGTCCAATACAAATTGAAGCTCCCCAGAGCAAAATAAGCATGACATAGGTGAAAGTGACAGTCCTCTCTGAATTGTAAGTCAAAGCATAATACAGTGAGAGGTACCGGTCGACAGTGATAGCCAGCAAACTGCAGACAGAGGCAGAGAAAGATGCAACGATCAATCCTATGGTGACCAGTTTGGTGGACTCTGACTGGAGAAGGTATGCAAAAATAAAATTGAAGATCAACCCAATTCCTGCTAAGAGGTCAGCCAAGGCCAAGCTGCCTATCAATAGGAACATTGGGGCACGAAGACTAGGATTATGGAAGATAATAAGGACCACCACCGCATTTTCACAGGAGATAAGGGTTCCTGAAGTACACAAGACAATATCCCACGGGTTTACTATAAAACCTGGTTCTGGGTCATCAACAGGAATCAGGGAGGTGACCATTGCCGAGACATTCTCTGTCGGACTGGCTTCTAAGTGATCCTGGAGCAGCCACGTTAAATTTACCGTCGGGTCTTCATTCATATTTAAACCCGTCCTCTTCAATAAAAAGACAATTTTGTTTTGTGTTTTTGGCTTTAATTAATATTTAAACCAAATTAATAACGAGCATGCAATCTATACGTCTTAAAAATCTAGACAAACGGCCGAGCACTCGTTACATAAACATGACTGCACAAAAATGATGATGCAAGGAAACACAGAATTTAAAAACTGTACTTTATTAAAGAAAAAGTCAAGGTGGAGAAAAAGCAAACAATGAAGATAGCAAACAACACTTAAAAAATATGAAAAGGAAAAAGAAAAAATGCATGAATTTAAGATCTAATAGCTAGAACTATTAGAAGGGTTTTTTTAAAAGCACATACTGTAGGCTAATCTTGGGAGTACCCAAGTTTAAAGAGGGAGAGCACCATGGAGCTGAATGCATCAAATTTTCACCCACCATTTCAGAGCTGATACAGTTAATTCAACTATAATAACCTTAAAAACAGGCATAAGAATTTATTGTCACCGTCCTGGGTTACTTCGATTAGTAGGAAAGAAAGCGGGAGGAAAAAGTCTTGTCAACTCCCAGGACAGGCGGCGAGGCATCATGTCAGGGTCCGCAGCGAGGCAGCTCTTCCCGGGGAGAAGACCCCGCCGCAGAGCCTTCCTCGCAACGGAGTGAGCCTCCGTGTCGGTGGAAGAGGCAGAGGCAGGGACGCGGGGCAGGTAAACACGGGCAAGTGTCATGCAGGATGATGGCGGGGAGGTTATCTGCATAACCTCCCCCAAGCAGCCTCATGGAGGAAATGGATGGACACGTACACACAGACATATACACACGCGCGCGCACGCGAGACGATCACAAACAGCCAGCACGGAGGGTGGGGGGTGGGAGAAGAACAAGCCCTCCGAACGTGGGTCACCTTGGCGTCTCCTCTGGAGGAGAGGAAGAGGCGGCGGCGCCGGCGGCGGAGGAGGAGGAAGAAGAAGAAGAGGGTCCCCGCTTCCTTTCTAGGCAGCCGAGGGTGCTGTGGCCGCTCCTTGCCGGCTCATTGTTTGCACGGCGCAGGCAGGCACAGGGCAAGGAGGCAGCCGCAGTGCCCGCCGCCCTAGGCTGGGGAGCTTGGCAGAGAGAAGAGCCGGCGCAGGCGGCAAGCCCCTTCCTTCTCCTCGGTGCACGAGGTGCCCGCGTGCCGGGCATCGGGGAGAGGAAGCG